GAGCGTCTTTCGCGAAATACGGCAATGGGATGAGAAAACCACTTTTCACAAAACCCGAGTGTCCAATGAAGTTCACACTTTCTGTGCCGGCACTAAGCAGTGCTACCCTGTTAAAGATGGAATGAAAGCTGGAAAACACCATATTATCCGTCGTTCTTTTCCATCAAAAATAAAAATGCGCACATTAAAACGGTTCCCAAATGGTACAGAAGAAGAAACAGAGGAATGCATAGGCCGGGGGCCTTCATTCCTCCGTTCAAGGCTTACAAAAAATTGTCCTCATTGCCAGTAAAAAGCAAATACTGGACCTTTTGGCCGATTGCCGTTAAAAGTGCCTTTAACTGCGCAGAGAAATGTTACCGAATAAGGGACTTTCCCAGTAATGGAGAAAGCCAGAGACATGATACAATCCTCCCCCTCTTCACCTTCCTCTTCTCACCTAACGGCATTTTCAGAAAGCACTCATGCACTTGTCCCCATGAATAGTATTGGGCCTTTAAAGATTATAGGCCCTCACATGGATGATGAGGTCATGGTGCCTTTGGCAACCTATGAATCGCCTTTATGGCCTTCCACAAACCGCGGCGCCAAAGCAACACGTCTATCTGGAGGAGTCGAAGCGGTTCTTATCTCTGCACAAATGACGCGCTCCATTCTTGTGCAAGCGCCAAATGCTGCTTATGCTAAGGATTTTCTAGAACACCTAAAAAAACAAAAAGAAACTTTAAAAGATATTGTTGCAAATACTTCCCGCTTTGCAGAACTCATTGACTGGCACCCTCAAATTCTAGGAAAAATGATCTACCTACGATTTGCCTTAAAAACAGGGGACGCTAGTGGCCATAATATGGTGACAAAAGCGGCAGATGCCCTTTTGAAATGGATTTTAGAGCAATATCCAGACCTAAAACATCTTTCTGTATCTGGGAATTTCTGTGTCGACAAAAAAGTTTCTGCCGTCAATGGCATCTTAGGCCGTGGCAAAAACGTTGTTGCAGAGGTGACAATCTCTAAAGAAATCTGCCACGATATTTTGAAAATAACCCCTGAAAAAATTCACGACCTCAACATCAAAAAGAATTGGATGGGCTCACAGCTTGCCGGGAGCGTTAGAACAGCGAACGCTCATTTTGCG